ATCACACAACAATGTTAGTTTATTATAGAGATTTATATATGTTATAATAAGATAATATTTTAATTGCTTTTGTTTAAAACTGATCAACCAAACACACACAAAGACACAAGGCGAAACAACAAAAAAAAAAAAACCAAAAAAGCAAGCCATATATATCCACTTTACTTAGTAACTTTCAAAATTACTTATTTCAAGGGGACAAAGGGAATGGAAAGAAGAAAAAACACAGTTCATGTTCTTGGTAAATGAAGTATTTCTTGAATCCCCCTAATCTGAGAAATGCATTAAATACTTAGCAAAATGTCAGTATGAGGAGAATCTGAAATTTTATTAATTACATAATTTGTCAGGTTTTTATTACTGACTAGCTGGTTGCTCTTACATTTCAGGTAATCAAGCTGACTGTATGTTTTCAGAGTGTATGTCTGATGAAAGGGACATGAGTCTTTAACCCTGACTCTCTATTGAGGTCATACCTATGTAAGTGCCCAAAAATCTCCTTGGGAATGTGAGCAGAAGGGAGGGTCAGAAACTAAAAGTGGTCAGTTACTGAAAGCTGAGGTGTACTGTTCTGCACTTGTTGTTTTAGATAAAGCCTGAGAAACACTAGGATATCTGTGGAGTCTCCAGTTTCCTGTGTTCATATAATTTATATTTCTTTTTAGTTTTCTTGTAACTGTTCATGACCTGGACAAGCGAATCAAAACAATCTTGAAATCACTTTAGTTTTCTGTTCTACACTGGAGCAAAGAGGACTTCTAAGCCATGTCTTCTATTTCCCTAGCAGCTGCAGAATAAGTGTAGAGCTACTGACAGCCATCTCCTCAGGTTGAAAAAGTGGTAACTGCAGGTCCTGGAAACTATCAGTTTAGCTCTGAAGGCCTGATTCATAGACTATTTAAGCATCTCTAAGAGTGTCTTGGGGCACAGATTTATAAACAAGTGGTATTTCCAGACACACATCCATGTTAACTTCAATCTGCATTTTCTTCAAAGGCTATAAATGTCTCATTAGCCTCAAATTACACTCCTCTGCCAATAAGGAAATCACGTATGAACATATGTTATTTCAGATCTTCTTTGACTTTTCTTGTGTGGTGTGCTGCCAGTTGTCATTTTAAACTGAGTAGTCTGGCTTGGATTGATTGTTTTCGATTGTTTGAGTGAGTGATACTTCCAACTAGAAATTTTTTGCAAGCAAGTTTGTATGAATTTTTCTAACATTTGAAGCAGTAAAAAAAAGATGGAAAAAGTAGAACATTATTAGTGATAATAAAAAAAGGCATGACAAGTACATGTCTTCCTGTAGACTCCGTATGTAAAGGTGTATTAAATAGCTGACTGTATACATATAATTTAACATCAAAATAGTTTTGACATATCTAAAAACCTTTCTAGAATGTTTAGTTTTCTATTTAAGATTAATCCCTAATTGAAATCTGTGTCTATTTACATCTTACAACATTTTCAATGATGTATCTACCATCATAGCAGAGTTGCCAAACTTCACAAATTAATAGTTAGCATGCCTTCTTCCTTACCTCTCAATATTATTACTGAAAATTATTTTGTGTGTCTTTGTGTATGAGCATGCTTACATTTCACATGTGAAACTAACCTTAGTAGTAACCTTAATTCCTTAATTAAGGAATTAACCTTAATTCCTAACCTTAACTAACCTTAATTCCTCTAGCAATTTCAATAAACTGAAATGTGTGATATTTTCTGTCAAACTGGGCAGGAATCCCACCCTAAACAAGATATTTTTAATTTTCTTGCCTCAGTCGGGGTTCTTTACCTCAGTATAATACCAAAACCAGTTGTCCTCAGGATGCACAGCTCCCAGAGCTAGAAGCTGGGCTAGTATGGAGAGCTGAGTGGAGCCCCCTTAATCCAGGAGGAAATGGTTAGTGACCTGGTACTTATTACCTATAGCAAATTAGACACACACAAGTCTATGGGCTCAGATTGCATTCACCTGAGGAAGCTGGTGAAAGAGTTTATCAAGCCACTTTCAACCACTTACCAGCAGTCCTGGTTAACTGGAGAAGGTGAGGATGATGGAAAATTAGAAAATGTAATGGCCATCTACAAGAAGGGTCAGAGGGTCGACCCAGGGAACTACAGGCCTGTCAGACTGACCATGATATTGGGGAAAGTCATGGAGAAGATCATTCTGAGTGTCATCACATGCTATGTTCAGGACAGGCAGCAAATGAGGCCCAGATGATACTCACAAATGGGTTTACGAAAGGCAGATCCTGTTTGACAAACTTGATCTGTCATAAAGTAACCTGGCTGGTGGATAAGGGAAAAGCTGCAGATCTTGTTCATCCAGACTTCAGTAAAGCATTGGATAGTGTCTCCCATAGCGTCCCCCTGGGGAAACTGGCTGTTCATGGCTTGGATGGATGCCGTCTTCACTGGGTGAAAAACTGGCAGGATAGTTGGGCCCAGAGAGTGGTGGGGAATGGAGTTAAATCCAGTTGGCAGCTGGTCACCCTGTGACCAGTGGTGTTCCCCAGGTTGGGGCCAGTTTAATGCCTCTGTTGATGATTTGGATGAGGGGATTGTGTGCATCCTCAGTAAGTTCACAGATGATACTAAATGGGATGGGACTACTGATCTTCTGGACCATAGTAAGGCTCTGCAAAAGGAACTCGACAGGCTGGATTGACTGAGGACATTTCTATGGGGATGATAAGGCCAAGGGTCAGGTCCTGCAGTTGGGTTGCAAAAACCCTGTGAATGCTCCAGCCTTGAGGAACAGTGTCTTGAGAGCTGCTCAGCTGAAGGGGACTTGGGAGTGTTATTTGAAAGCTGGCTGGATATGAGCCAGTGTGTGCCCAGGTGGCCAAGAAAGCCAAACTATTTAGTACGTCACATTTTTCACAGTTATATATTATCTCTGCTGTATCAGCTGAAGATTTCCTTCATGTTGTCATTTTTGGTTGTCTCCCTACTGGTAATTGTTCTTTTGTGTTTATTTGTCATTACCATTTTCTTTTCTTCTTTTGTTTCCTCTATTTTTCACTTGTTGTTTGCCCAGAAAATTTTTTTCTCTATCCATCTTTCATCATCTGGATCAATGTGTTTCTTTCTACCTGGTCAATTTTCTTAGTGCTGTATTCCACATTTCTTAGGATCTCCTTGCAAACTTCTGCAGTGTGAGTGTCAAGGGAATAAGATCTGTTGCTCATCCCTAAGCACAGATTAAATCCTCAGTTGGATATAACTGGAAAATCTGATTTGTGCTGCATGATCAGTAAAGTGTGCCGAAGTCAGGATGGGACAGAGCAAGAGGAATGCTACTCAAAATCAGTCACCTGCTGCTGATTTTCATTGTTAAGAATGGTAGGAAAAATCAGACGAGAAAGTGACACTTGAGGAGGAATTTTGAGTGACCCATAGCTATCTGACCACGAGCAGCTGAAGTGAGGCTGCCCATGGGGGATGACCCAGGAGCTGTGGGCACTGCAGAGCTGGCAGTGCAAGACTCTGAACTCCTAAGGCCCCACATTGTGGGTGGGCTGAGGACAGGGGCAGGACTCTGCCACCACCCAATGATCATCAGGCCAGTCAGCGTGAGGAGTCAGGTCCCAGGTCTACCTGGGGACCCAGTGAGGGCAATATCCAGATTGGGTGTGAGGTTGGGCATAGGGCTTCTTGCAGCATAGCTCAGGGACTGATGACTCTGGTGATGCCCTTGGGGACATGAAAATTAGAATTGTTAATGGTTTGTCCTTCAGGAATGGTGCTCAAATTGCACCATAGAGAAGATGTCAGTAGAAATGTTGGCCCATCAGCACCCAGTAATATGTATCTGGTATTTTTCTGGCCTCTGGTGTTTCACCAGTTTTGTGGTGAGTCCTAAAATGAATTGAAGAATTCCAGGAGTTTAAAGAGAATAAAATATCTTTCAAATTATTTTCCATTCTGAGTTCTGTCTGAAAACAGGACCTGCTAGTCCACTTATATATAATTTTGATATATAAATGTGTGTTCATCCAACCAAATATGAGGTATCAGTGTCAGTTTCCTATAACAAGGGATTTTTTACTTGTGGAATTTTTTACCTATGGAATTGTTGTCTGTGCTTTTGAGCTGAGTCATGGTTTAAAAGGAAGTCCTTAACTTCTTTGGACAGGTAAAAGAATGCTGATGTATGTTTATTTATACACTTGTAATGGTTAGCATATACCATTGAATTAAAATTTCATTAAAAATTTACAGAATCATTGTATGAATTGCCTTCTATTTAAAAATAAAAGTAGGAGAATGCAAGCAGGTAATGTTACATAATTATAACACTATGTAGGCCAAAAATTGATTTGAGAGATTGTATCATGCTTTTTTATTTTTCTTTTAGTTTTCCATTGTTGTATTTCAGACATAGAAAAAAGATATGGCAACCACTAAATTTGTAACTCATTTTGATTGTTCTCACACTTGGTTTGAACTAATTATTTATTTCATTCATTGGAATTTCTGAATTAGATGGAGGTAAATTAGGTTGTCATACAGAAATAATGTCTGTGAAAAATACTCTGTAGTCATCATCTCATAGCAAAAAGAGATTGTACCATACAGGAAATAAAAGTAATGAATGGTTCCCGTGGGAGTGCAAATAGGCTTAAGAAGAAGATTCTGTTTATTTAGGGCAGAAAATATCCTCAAGCTAAAACTTAAATGTGAATCTCTTCCTGAAATCAGAAATATTTGGGCTGTGGTTTGGTTTGGAAGCATACAGAGAAGCAGAAATGTTTGTTTTGTGGTATAACCTCTAACAAGCCTATGGCTTCAGGTTTAGCTCTCTTAACTTACATGTCTTTGGAAACACATAGCTAACCATGATGTTTAAAGTTCATAAAAACTTTGTGGGCCTTGTCATGGAAGTAGTGTGTGAATATAATTTTTGGTCTATTTTTTTTTTTATTTTAGGTTTATGCCAACATAAATTTATCTATTGATTTGAATTGCTTGTTTTCTCTTGGTCACAGGCTGACTGAGTGGCTGGACTTCACTGAAAGGAGCCATTTCACTGGGGCAGTGGAATAACTGCAGTTATCTCACTACTCGTTGGGAAGTGCTGTGCGTTGCTAGGATTAATTCAACACTAAAGTCTGGGATGGGCCTTAGGGGCAAACATTCCCTTGTTTCTTCTGACATTGGGATTTGTCTACAGCCGGTCAGCTGAGGCACCTACCACGCATCAATTTTTTTTTTTTTTTTTTATTGGTTGCCCGGGAAAAGATATATTTTCCCTTGCTTCATCTCCTTTTGACTACTTTTTTACTAGTTTAAATTTTCCTTGACTGATTAATTTCTCCTGGCTGTGGAAAAAGAGCCCTGCTGATGTTGATTTAAATAATGTCGAAACCAATGGGACTCCTATGGCTGCCTTTGATCTTCACACCAGTGTGTGTCATGTTGAATTCTAACTTCCTCCTGTGGATAACTGCACTGGCTATAAGATTTACTCTGATTGATGGCCAAGCACAATACCCAGTTGTTACTACGAATTATGGCAAAATACGTGGTTTAAGAACACCTTTGCCTAATGAGATCCTTGGTCCGGTGGAGCAGTACTTGGGTGTTCCTTATGCTTCTCCTCCAACTGGAGAAAGGCGATTTCAGCCCCCAGAGCCACCATCGTCGTGGACGGGTGTCCGCAACGCCACACAGTTTGCTGCTGTCTGCCCGCAATACCTGGATGAGAGGTCACTGCTCAACGACATGCTGCCAGTCTGGTTTACAGCCAATCTGGATACTGTGGTGACATATGTTCAAGATCAAAATGAAGACTGTCTGTATTTGAATATCTATGTGCCCACAGAGGATGGTAAGTACCCCGAGACCCGCACTGCAGTATGCTCACCAGTTCTACATGTGAGGAGTGTCCAGGTCTTCAAAGCATCTTACTGAGTTTCATCCATGTTTTATCTGTGGAAATGGATAATGTCTCTGAACATGCATTATTAGTAATACTTTGTAGATTGAATATGCTTGTGTGGATTCTCTCTTATGTTTCAGTGCAACACCAACCTGCAGTTTGATTGCATGTGGTGTCAGGGTATATCAGCCAGCCTTAAGTTTACATCTAAAACACAGCAGACAATCATTCACCTGAGAGGAAGGGGGAAATGAACATCAACCTGAAATAATATAGTTATTTTTCCATGCATGAATGGTACAAATATTCTGTTACATGCTAATTTTTAAAGGAGAATTTATATATTTTTTCTTTATTTTATAATGAAATTTCTGAGCCTACTGTTAACTTTGCTTGATTTTAATAGTTAATAGAAAATTTTTATAGTAATTCAGTCAGCAGAGGATTTTTTTTGTCTGTGAAACTTTTCAATCCAACTTATTTTTCTTCATTCACTAAATTTAAAATAAAGTCAAGGTGATTTATTATGCAGATTTGAACAGGTGGCTTTAAACTTTCATCTGTTTCGTGCAATACTTTCTCAAGAGGACTATTTTAAATCACTTTCTATAGACAAAAAGGATGAACACAATTGGTAATGCAGAACTCATTGAACATTACATGATCTCATTCTTAAAAATGGTAGCTGTATGTTATGAGGAATGTATCTTTGGTTGTTTTGAACATTATTGCTTCCTATAGGCAAGAAAACCTATTTTCATCAGGCCCCAAATGAGCTAAGTCTGTTATTTCACAAGGAAATAAAAATATTATTAGCACTTATATTTAATATTCCACTAAAAGCTAGTGCTTTCTGCTAATTAGAATGCAGTTACGGATGTATAACGTGACAGACTTCTCCCAGATATGCAAATCCCTTCACTTTTGCTGAGGGTTTGATTTACACAACCAAGGCATTGTTATTTCTCAGTAACCATACTCTAAATATGCAAATTTTCTACTTTGATTATTATAATCCTTCTGCCTTGATTGGTTTCTTTACTCAGAATTTCCAAGCTGTCTGCCAGCAATAAACATACCACCTTCTTTTCTTTTTCTCATCAGCTGAAGCAAAAACTTGAAAGCTAAAAATAAAGGGGTAAGGTTTGGGAATACTGGGAGCTTTGCAAAGGAAAATACTACCAAGCTTCTTTTAAAGGAAAAGTGCTGTGAAAGGAAAGCTGCATTTATGGAGGCTGTGGGTGCGTGTGTGTGTGTGCGTGTGTGTGTGTGTGTGTGTGTGTGTGCACCCCTGTGTGCAGACAAAGGAGCAGGTCTTTACAACTCAGTTCCTTCCCTCTTCCAGTCTCACTCGACTCCTTCTTACTCCTTGGATAACGACATACATAATTTTTTCCAAAATTTGTTTATGTTCTGGATTCTATCCTTCACCATTCAATTAGTCGCTGGGGTAAGTTTGCCCTGAGAAAGCATTCTGGGTTAGGATTTTATTTGTTCTCACTGAAGGAACATCAGATCTCCTAGTTCAGTCTTATTTTAGAATCCAGTTTTAATAAATAAGATGCTCCTCCAATCTAATAATAATAAGTTTCATATATTAATTAGGGAATACAGGATATTAGATATGAAAAGATACATGTGAGTGTCTAGGAAAAGAATATTTGATATAAAATGAAAAATAATAAAGTATTGTGGGCTGAATGACTAGCAATCTATAACATGCATCTTGCTATAATAACTAATGACATTTTGGTGTTATATATAAAGTAGAAAGGACTGATAAATTTAATTTTACATTCTGGAGACCTTTTTGTCCACTTGTTTTTGCAAAAAGTGTGGTTTGCTTTTCCTGCTTTTTGATTTTCTTTACTCTAAATAGCATTTAAATGGTATCTATTTGCTTTTATATCTCCTGTTGAAAATATAAACACATACATAAAAACATGTAGCTGAATAATGAGAAGACGAAGTTTGTTTTAGTGATGAGCTCAAGGTAAGGTTGCTCCTATATGATTTGACAAGCATTTTTAAAAAATTCCATTGGGAAACAAGAAGCTTAAGAAATAATAAATTAAGTACACAATGTTTTAATTGTATGCTGTATATCTTATCACTAATTAATAAAGCTTAGTGGCTTTTTTGGTGAGGCATATATGCAATCTTCTGACCATAAAAATTCTTAAGGGGAACTGACCTACAGATCACATGCTCTGAGTTAGTGTGTATCCAAATCACTCTAAACAGTCTTAAATAATAGTCCATACAATCTGATTAAAGATGTTATGCTTCATTATATGAGTCCTAGTTGGCAAAAATAATCCATGTTGTTATTGAAATAGACCATGAAATTAGTTTTTGAAGCAAGATTTTGAAGTGAGTGACTTTGAGTTAAATTCACATTTTCAATTCTTTCTTCAGTACAGATTGATTTAAAAGAGCTTTGAAAGTGTTTTCTCGAAGAAAAGTTGTTTGGAATCATCCAAACCTAATGAATGCTCTGATTATGAAACTTACTCTGAATAATTTTTGTGCTTTTTTTTTTTTTAACTTTGGTGAAAACACTAGAACAACTAATGAATTAACTGCAGTCATTTGCAGTGCTTACTTCAGATGAATTCTAGTGAAGAACTAATCAAAATAAAACAGCTTTGGGGATTTTTTTTTTAATTGTTTTGTTTTGTTGCAGGTTTTTTTTCAGTACGTAGAATGAGCTGTTTCTTATTATTTTTGTGGCTTGGCCAAAGGAAACCAAATTTTGATCATGTACTTTCAATAAAGGGTTTAGAAACAAATGCACATACCCCTCCATCTGATTTCAGAATTGCTTCACTGGAATCCTTTCACAAGAAACTAATGGAAAGAAGAGTAGAATGCAGTCACTTTAACTAGGTAGATAAGTTCAGTTAGTTTTAAAAAAATACTTGGAAATGTTACTGCTTTTGCCTGAAGTACCATGAAATTAAATAACATATAAATCTATAGTTCCTTAAAATAGTTTGAGCTTCTAGGTTAAGAAATTAAAATAACCTGTTATACAGTCTGTATCTGTATTAATCCTAGCCTCTCTTTATACCCATAAGATTCTGGATTTCAAATGTCAGATAGCAGGAGAATCCTGTCGGAATTTCCCATATTAAAATATCCTTACAAAGCAAAAATTATCTTCCTTTTTAGGGGCTGTCTGTTTTCATTATAGATGAAAATATTATTTATCATAGAAGCCAATACACTACCTAGCAGAATATAACTGCAATTCTACTGCATGTAGATTTTTATTCTTTTGCTATTTATCACTGGACAAGTGTTTTTTGGTGTATCTTTCCTTACAGTTATACTTAGATACACTATTTCAGAGTATCTAAGGTAGCTGTAAAATTTCACTGTTTTTTTTCTTTTTCCTTTGGAAGTGAAAAAAGAACTTTCAACCACTGTGATCCATTGAGATTTTTTGTTTTTTGATCAAAAGTATAAATAATATTACAGTTATTTTAAAGACTCTCAATAGAAGCAATAAAAATAAAATCTAAGAAAATTCTTTTGTATGTCAAACCTATAGTAATAATAAATCACTCAGAACTGAAGCAAATAAAATATTTATAGTGAAACTATCATTTTATCCAGTTGCTTTCTAAACATTTGGCTTGATCTTCAGTATTATTTGTGTGGGTGGCTAACGTCTAGGCTGCTTTTTCTGTTACTATGAACTGTAATTTTCCACAAGAATACTCGAATGTCAGTTTTGAGGAGGTCATCTAGGGAAATGATATTGAGGATAGTGTGTTTATTATAACTTCAGACTGAATATGGGTTTATCTACACTGGAAACGCTAGATTGAAGAGGACACAGACTGTTAATCGGCTGTGCTTAATCCCTGGCCTTTATCATTTGAATCTGTGGATTCTGAAGGAGATTGCTAACTCCTATCATAACTGGGGAAAAAAAGTATAACAAGAAAAAAAAATGGAAAAGGCCCTTGATTTGTATTTCTTTCATGATAAACTTCAAAATTTTATTAATAGCAAAGTAAGATTTAAAAAAAAAAATCAACACAGCAAAACAAAAAAGAGCAAAACCCAACAAGAACAAATCTTTTTATTCTTGTCTAAAACCTGTTATGTTCAGATCAAAAGAGAAAATAATAAAGATTACTTTTTGTTGTCTTTGCTTGATCAATAGTAAGCATATATACTTTTTACTTATTTTGGCATATGGATAGAGTACATTTTACACAAGGGTGGAGCTCCTCATCCTCTGTATCCATTACAGATTAACTAATGAAGTATTTAGCATCCAGAGGTTTGCTCTTGTTTCTTGTTTGTGAGCTCTTGTTTCTTTTACTTCAGAATAAAAACAGCTGAAGTGACAACAAAAGGTGTGAGACCATGACACTTATTAAGGCTGAATGGGTAGGTGATAATTTTTCATTAGATACTGGGAACTAAGACTTGCTCAAGATTAGTGGTATATTTAACTGTGGACTACCAGGAAAAAAAAAATCTTGTGCAAAAGCAAAGAGATCAACAGTGTTCTCTGGGTGCTGATTGATGAAATATACCTGCAGCTCTTGACTTTGTGTCTATTTGATTAAGAAATAACAAAATGAAGACTTTGAGCAAAGCTGATAGAGAAGACGAGCCTTAGACTGTCCCTTTTGCATATTATGAAATGTCAAATGTCTGCTTAATACATAATTGAGTGTTTACAGCTTTCTTCTTGCCATTGCTGTTGAATTGCAATGTCTTTAACTTAGAAAAAGTATTTTTTTCAAAATTATTGTAATGAAACATAATTGATAAAAATAAGGTTTTTTCCTTTTTCTTTGAGGCAAAGAAAAAGGTAGTGTAAATATTGGTCTCTTTGTTTTGATGGCATAGAACAGGAAAAGTAAGCTAATCAATGGCCTCTGTTACTATGAAAAATAAGGGATCATACATAGTGTCATAGTCAG